ATAGAGGGGGTACCTACCTTTGCCCTGGCTCTAGCCCATTCTCTTCGTCTCGCTCTGCACTGAGCTGAGGGTGGGGGTGCTCTGAGCACAGGGTTGGGGGTGCAAGGTCTGGGAGGGAGTTAGGGTGCAGGAGCAGGCTGGGGGTTGGGGTGCAGGGTCTGAACAGGAGGTAGAATGAGGGAGGGGGCTCAGGGTTGGGGTGTGGAGCGCTTACCTGGGGCAGCTCCCATTCACTGTGAGGGGTGCAGGTGGGAATGTGGGGGGGAGGGTGCAGAAGCTCCCGTTTGGTGCTCAGGGTGGGGGTAGTGATGTGTGAGGGTGCAGGAGTCAGGGCATGGCAGAGGCTGGGTATGTGTGTGGGGGATGCAGGAGTCAGGGCAGGGGTCTGGGGGGGTCTGTCTGGGGTCATGGGGGTGGTCCCAGCCCCCTGCCCTCAGTGACTCATGGCAGGGGGCTGGAGGGGGTATGCCCTGATTCCACCCCCTTCCCCAAGGCCTCTTTTCCGCTTCCTCCTGCTCCCTGGCTCTGGCAAACAGCTGATCGGCAGCAGGGAGAGGGATGGAAGTAGCAAGCTGGGGGAAGAGGCTGGGGACGGGGGAGCTTGGTTGCCAGCAGAGCTTGCCATGCAGGAGAGAGCAGGGGGTGGAGAAGAGCGCCTGGCCGGGGCCCCTTTGGAGCATGGGCCTGGCGCCCTGGCAAATCCACTACTGTTAAGAGCTTTTGGTGAGAGACCTTGTCAAGGCTTTCTGAAAATCTAAAGTACACTACATCCACTGGATCCCCCTTGTCCACATGCTTGTTGATCCCCCTCAAAGAATTCTAGGAGATTGGTGAGGCATGATTTCCCTTTACAAAAACCATGTTGACTCTTCCCCAACAAGATTCTTTACAATACTTTCAACCAGTTTGCCCAGTACTGAAGTCAGGCTTACCGGCCTGTAATTGCCGGGATCACCTCTGGACCTTTTTATAAATTGGCATCACATTAGCTATCCTCCAGTCATCTGGTACAGAAGCTGATTTAAATGATAGGCTACAGACGACAGTTAGTAGTCCTGCAATTTCACATTTGAGGTCCTTCAGAAGTTTTGGGTGAATACCATCTGGTCCTGGTGACTAAATACTGTTTAATTTATTAATTTGTTCCAAAACCTCCTCTAATGACGCCTCAATCTGGGACAGTTCCTCAGATTTGTCACCTAAAAAGAATGGCTCAGGTTTGGGAATCTCCCTCATAGGGTGACCAGATGACATGGGGGAAGCAAAAAAAAACAAAACAAAAAAACCACACACCACAACGGACACAGGACAAAGAACTAAAAATCGGGACAGTCCCGATTTTATCAGGATATCTTGTCACCCTACTCCCTCACATCCTCAGCCATGAAGACCGATGCAAAGAATTCATTTCTCCACAATGGCCTTATCGTCCTTGAGTGCTCCTTTAGCATCTTGATCGTCCAGTGGCCTCACTGGTTGTTTAGCAGCTTCCTGCTTCTGACGTACTTTAAAAAAAATAGCTATTACTTTTGGAATCTTTGGTTAACTGTTCTTCACATTCTTTTTTGTCCTTCCTAACTATATTTTTACACTTCATTTGCCAGAGTTTATGCTCCTTTCTATTTTCCTCACTAGGATTTAACTTCCACTTTTTAAAGGATGCCTTTTTGCCTCTCGCTGCTTCTTTTACTTCGTTGGTTAACCACAGTGGCTCTTTTTTGGGTCTCTTACTATGTTTTTTAATTTGGGGTATACATTTAAGTTGAGCCTCCATTATGGTGTCTTTAAAAATTTTCCACGCAGTTTGCAGAGATTTCACTTTTGACACTGAACCTTTTAATTTCAGTTTCACTAACCTCCTCATTTCTGTGTAGTCTCCATTTCTGAAATTAAATGCTACTGTGCTGGGCTGCTGTGGTGTTTTCCCTGCCACAGGGATGTTAAATTTAATTATATTGTGGTCACTATTGCCAAGCGGTCCAGCTGTATTCACCAAGGGAAGGTCATGCCTGACTAATCTAATCGCCTTTTATGATGAGATTACTGGTTCTGTGGATGAAGGGAAAGCAGTGGATGTATTGTTTCTTGACTTTAGCAAAGCTTTTGACACGGTCTCCCACAGTATTCTTGTCAGCAAGTTAAGGAAGTATGGGCTGGATGAATGCACTATAAGGTGGGTAGAAAGCTGGCTAGATTGTCGGGCTCAACGGGTAGTGATCAATGGCTCCATGTCTAGTTGGCAGCCGGTATCAAGTGGAGTGCCCCAAGGGTCGGTCCTGGGGCCGGTTTTGTTCAATATCTTCATAAACGATCTGGAGGATGGTGTGGATTGCACTCTCAGCAAATTTGCGGATGATACTAAACTGGGAGGAGTGGTAGATACGCTGGAGGGGAGGGATAGGATACAGAAGGACCTAGACAAATTGGAGGATTGGGCCAAAAGAAATCTGATGAGGTTCAATAAGGATAAGTGCAGGGTCCTGCACATAGGACGGAAGAACCCAATGCACAGCTACAGACTAGGGACCGAATGGCTAGGCAGCAGTTCTGCGGAAAAGGACCTAGGGGTGACAGTGGACGAGAAGCTCGATATGAGTCAGCAGTGTGCCCTTGTTGCCAAGAAGGCCAATGGCATTTTGGGATGTATAAGTAGGGGCATAGCAAGCAGATCGAGGGACGTGATCGTTCCCCTCTATTCGACATTGGTGAGGCCTCATCTGGAGTACTGTGTCCAGTTTTGGGCCCCACACTTCAAGAAGGATGTGGATAAATTGGAGAGAGTCCAGCGAAGGGCAACAAAAATGATTAGGGGTCTGGAACACATGAGTTATGAGGGGAGGCTGAGGGAGCTGGGATTGTTTAGCCTGCAGAAGAGAAGAATGAGGGGGGATTTGATAGCTGCTTTCAACTACCTGAAAGGGGGTTCCAAAGAGGATGGCTCTAGACTGTTCTCAATGGTATCAGATGACAGAACGAGGAGTAATGGTCTCAAGTTGCAGTGGGGGAGGTTTAGATTGGATATTAGGAAAAACTTTTTCACTAAGAGGGTGGTGAAACACTGGAATGCGTTACCTAGGGAGGTGGTAGAATCTCCTTCCTTAGAGGTTTTTAAGGTCAGGCTTGACAAAGCCCTGGCTGGGATGATTTAACTGGGAATTGGTCCTGCTTCGAGCAGGGGGTTGAACTAGATGACCTTCTGGGGTCCCTTCCAACCCTGATATTCTATGATTCTATGTATTCACCCCTTGGACCTGATCCTATGCTCCACTTGGGACTAAATGAAGAATTGCCTCTCCTCTGGTGGGTTCCAGGACCAGCTGCTCCAAGAAGCAGTCATTTAAGGTGTCAAGAAACTTTATCTCTGCATCCTGTCCTGAGGTGACCCAGTCAATATGGGGATAGTTGAAATCCCCCATTATTATTGAGTTTTTTATTTTAATAGCCTCTCTAATCTCCCTAATCTTCACAGTCACTATCACCATCCTGGTAGGCAATACAGCCTTATTATTAGGGCATGGAATTTCTATCCATAGAGATTCTATGGTACAGTTTGGTTCATTTAAGATTTTTACTTCATTTGATTCTACACTTTCTTTCACATATAATGGCACTCCCCCACCAGCACGACCTGTTCTGTCCTTCCAATATATTGTATGCCATGGTATTACCGTCCCCCATTGATTGTCCTCATTCCAGCAAGTTTCTGTGATGCCTATTATATCAATAGCCTAATTTAATGAGACACTCTAGTTCACCATCTTATGATTTAGACTTCCAGCATTGGTATATAAGCACTTTAAAAACTTGTCACTTTTTAGCTTTTACAGTACATGGTGTAATTGAATGGGGCTTTTTTTTCATTTGACTGTTTCTCATCAGATCCTACCCGTCAGAGGCGGATTTACAATGAAGCACACAGTGCCCTGGCACGGGGCCCCCCCAACTATAGGGGGCCCCAGGGCCGGGCAGCCCAGCACCGTCCAGCACCCCCTGCAGGGGGGCAGAAGCTGTGGGGGAGAGCAGGGAGGGAGCCATTTAAGAGGCGTGCTCTCCCAGCCAGGAAGCCGGGCTCCTGCTGGCTCCCGGGACCCCTGCTGCAGGCTGGCGCCCCCATGCACCATGGCAAGCAGGTGAAGGGCCGGTTGGGGGCACGCTGTAGATGAGGCATGCGCGTTCCCCTGGTGGGGCGTCTGTCCGCGCCTGTCCTCTGGACTCCGGGCAGCGCAGGTGCACTGCTGCTGGCCGCCCCTGGAAAAAAGCCTCGGGAAGGTAGCAGCAGGCCAGGGGGTCTCGGCTCTCGCACGCTGCTGCCACCACAGCTCCCTTTGGCAGCGAACAGGAGCAGCGGCAGGGCGGGGACACATCCACCGGCCAGCCAGGTCCGGTAACCCAGCAGCCGTGACTGGGACTGCCCCAGCCCTGAGCTCCCCCCCCCCCAACACATACACACAGGGCAGCGAGCTGGGGTGGCCCCCACACACACCCAGCCCACCCCCCTGCCTTCACTCCTGCACCCCCCCACAACCCCAGCCCTGACTCCTGCACCCCCCTCATCCACCCTCAGCCCCCTGACCTCCCTGACCCCTGCACCCCCCACACACTCCCTGCCCTGACTCCTGCACCCTCCCCCACCTGCATCCCTTGCACCAAACAGAAGCTGCCCCAGGTAAGCGCTCCACACCCCAACGCTCTGTCCCAGCCCTGAGCCCCCTCCTGCACCCTAACTCCTAGCCAGACCCCAAACCCCCGCCCACTCCTACACCCTAACTCCCTCCTAGGCCCTGCACTCCCAGCCCTGAGCCCCCCCCCCCCACACACTCTCTCTCCAAGTCTTGGGCAGACCCCGCACCCCAATGTTTGGAGTTTTTTTTTAAATTATATATATAAAGCACTCTTCTCCAAAGCCCTTTACACTAGTTAGCTAACAGTACAAACAATATTTGGAAAGATCATTAAGTGGTCTGCCTCGACCTGTAGCGATTTTCAAGTGGTCTGTGGGGAAAAAAAAAGTTAGACTACAAAAACAATCAAGGTACCTCACGGTATTTTCATTTACTTCCTATTACTTACAATATAGGAGGAGGATGAAGAAAAAAAGAAGGAAGAACAGGGATGGGGGAAGATCAGAAAGAATGTGCTTTTTCTTGGCTGGGTCCCAAGGGGGGGCCCCAAAAATGAAGCTGAGCACAGGGCCCCACCAACTCTAAATCCACCACTGCTACCTGTACTTTGTCATCTTCCCTCCTCTCCTCCTTATGAGGACAGAGAATCTCCATTAATAGATCCTCCCCGAAGGGAGGTCTCTGTCTGAACCACGTGCTCCTTCGCACCTGTTGGCTTTCCCCTAGCCCTCAGTTTAAAAGCTGCATTGAAGTAAAAGCATTGAAGTGTTCTAGTCCTTGCCTACAGACAGCCCCCCAACCTGAAGCAAATACTCACCAGCAACCACATACCACACAACAGAACCACTAACCCAGGAACCTATCCTTGCAACAAAGCCCGTTGCCAACTGTGCCCACATATCTATTCAGGGGACACCATCACAGGGCCTAATCACATCAGCCACACTATCAGAGGCTCGTTCACCTGCACATTCACCAATGTGATATATGCCATCATGTGCCAGCAATGCCCCCTGCCATGTACATTGGTCAAACTGGACAGTCTCTACGTAAAAGAATAAATGGACACAAATCAGATGTCAAGAATTATAACATTCATAAACCAGGCGGAGAACATTTCAATCTCTCTGGTCACGCAATTACAGACATGAAAGTTGCGATATTACAACAAAAAAACTTCAAATCCAGACTCCAGCGAAAAACTGTTGAATTGGAATTCATTTGCAAATTGGATACAATTAACTTAGGCTTGAATAGAGACTGGGAGTGGCTAAGTCATTATGCAAGGTAACCTATTTCCCCTTGTTTTTTTCCTACCCCCCCTCCCCCAGACGTTCTTGTTAAACCCTGGATTTGTGCTGGAAATGGCCCACCTTGATTATCATACACATTGTAAGGAGAGTGGTCACTTTAGATAAGCTATTACCAGCAGGAGAGTGGGTTTGTGTGTGTTGGGGGGGGGGGGGGGGAGAAAACCTGGATTTGTCCTGGAAATGGCCCAACTTGATTATCATACACATTGTAAGGAGAGTGATCACTTTAGACAAGCTATTACCAGCAGGAGAGTGGGGTGGGAGGAGGTATTTTTTCATGCTTTGTGTGTATAAAAAGATCTTCTACACTTTCCACAGTATGCATTCAATGAAGTGAGCTGTAGCTCACGAAAGCTTATGCTCAAATGAATTGGCTAGTCTCTAAGGTGCCACAAGTACTCCTTTTCTTTTTGCGAATACAGACTAACACGGCTGTTACTCTGAAACCTTTAATTTTAAGAACAACTGAAATGTGCTAACATTATGAATTGAACTGTGCACCAACACTGGGTGGACCTGTATTACACAATGTTCCAGTCGGTGACAGTGTTAGAATGTTAACTCTCATCCTTCAGTTCACAAGGTCTCTTCTCGCCTTTGCCCTTGTGAAGTGAATCACAGCATCAGAGAGAGCCAAAGACTGGCCAATGGCATGTTCAAACAATAAATTAGCAAGCAATGTCAGTCTCTCATTGGCCATCGTCAATCAAAGATCTGTTTTAATGAGCCCAAGCTTCGAAGAGCCGCGCTCCCCACCCGTGTTGGTTTGTGCCTGATCCCTGTAAGACAGGTCTGACCCACGGAAGTGCTCTGAGCTGTATGTACAGGCGCCTTCCCCATGACAGTGGGGTGGTGTGTAGGAATGGGCTGGTATGGCCCACAGACTCATTCCTTCGTAATCCAAAATGGAGCAGCTTCAATGGGCAGGAGTGAAGGAGGCCCCTGAATATGCCCTCACCCAGCAGACAGGGCTTTGTCTTGAGGCGTGGGAGACCTCTGCTCGGATACGGGCTGCCCTGCAGGTGGGGGAGGGGAGTTGAACTGGGGTCTCCCACAGCCCAGCTGAGTGCTCTGGGGTAAAGAAGGGGGGCCTCTGTCTCAGCCCCTTTTGTGTGGAACGAGGCAGGCGCCCCACTCATTCACACAAGACACCCCCATCTCAGCTACCTGGCTCCAGAGAGGGGTTCCCGCTCATGGGCCACAAGCAGAGCTGGGTGCCTTCTTAGGTGTCTAACTCCATGCGTGGGGCAGGGCTTCGCACACATCCCCTTGGCTCAGCATTGTCCATTGGCTGGCATAGGCAGTTCCCTACCTGGTGTGCTGGCTTTTGGGGTCCCATCCGCGAGTGTCTGTCTCACCCCATCCGTTGTGCCGGGACCCGGGCCCCCCCAGTGCAGGCTGCCTGGATCCCATCGTTGGTCTGCTAATGTTCTCAATGACCAAAAGTTGGGGCACGGGGGTGATACAGAACATCACAGCACCTAAGTCCCTTTGTGGATCCAAAGAAACAAACCAACCCGCTCCCCGAAGAAGCAGCTGTAGGCAGGGGCCTGCCCCGCGGGTGAGAACTGGCGCTGGTGCTAATTAACCCACTAATTGTCGGGTTATAGCCGAGGACGACAGCAGGTGAGGGCAGTGGCTTCAGCAGACGTTCCTGAGCCCCTCGGTAGGCGCTGGTTGGACGGGTGAAGAATAACGAAGGGTTAAATCTGGTTTCAGGATGAGAACTGGATGCTGGTTTTTGAAATGTGCCCAGAATGTTGCCCTCGTTACCCCGTGAGGGAAGCGGGAATCTGCTGTGATACTGGTGACCAACAGGCCAGGTTGGGGATTGTGCAGAAGGGCTGGGAGTGGTGGTTTGGAACCTTGATGGCTCCCATCAGCCAGGACAATCGACTGTGGATCGCTCTGTTTGCAGGCAGGCCTTCCTGTGAGTCAGGCTGGAAGGAATGAAGGCTTGGGGTCTTACAGTGACCTGTGACCATGTCACCTGGTACTGAAATCCATCTTAAACCTGGTGCTTTTCCATTGGGGGGGGGGGCGTGGGACCCAGAGAGACAAAGGATTCCGCCTTGTGCCAAAGCCATGCTTCTCCTGGGGCAGGGGGCTGGTGTGATGGGGTGAGGGCACGACTGGCCGCAGCAGCAGCGATGAGCCAGCAGGAGCTGGCTGGGATCAGCATGTACCAAGGGAGGATCCAGAGAGGCAGCGGGAGCCCTGCTGAGCCAAGGACTGACTCTGACCATGTGAACGCTGTGTGGCTGGCAGCAGAGGCTGGGGCCTGGAGGGGACAGGAGCCCCTGATAAGAGCAGGAATCACAGGTGCACATGCAGCGGCTCTGTTGGGATGGGGGGGGGAGTGTGGAGCTCAGGGAGCAGGACATGGCAACGCCCTGGCTTCCACCACCAGGAACCCTCACCTCAGCTAACCCAAGGACAGTCAGATTCCGTGCTGCGGGCACTGATCAGTAGTTACCTTACGCCATGGAGGGGCTCAGGATATCTGCAGATATCTCGTTGGGCTGCACACGGAGGGAGAACACCCGAAGGCCCAGTCTGGGAGTCCTGGAGGGAGCAGGCCTGTCCCATGGCATGGTCTGGCACACTCCAGGGGTCATCCCCAAGGGGCTGGTTGGTTACGGGCCATAGCCCAGCCCCATGGATCCCGGACAGCGTCACCTTGTTACAGTAATAAATGTTCTAAGTGGGAGAAATCTGCTTTTATTTGTGTCCAGAATTAAAAGAGAGATTTCACAGGGGTGGCAGATGGTGACAGGGCCCCTAACCATCACAAATGGCTCCCCCGGGCCCAGACCATGACACTGCAGAGGTGGCACCCAGCACCACTCTTGCCCAGCAGATGAGGGGGCGATCGCGGTGGAGCCGGGCGGTGGTCTGGGGTCCCTGCCGGGGCGATCTCATTTGGCAGGCTGGGCTGTTGGGGGTGCAGAGCTGGGCTCTGCTGCTCCCTCCCCAGGCTCCCCTGCCAACTTGTCTTTTGTCCCTAAACCCTCCCAGGCAATGCTGCCTCCATGGAAACCAGGTGGGGGCTGCTGTGGAGACTGTGGCGGTTGCTACGGCTACGGTACCAATGGGACATGGCACAGCTCAGCAGAGGGGTGGGCATCGGTGGGGGCAGGGCAGCTCCATTGCTGCTGGCCCGAGTTTAACCCCGGGGGACTGTGAAGCAATGGGGCCGGAGTCCCGGGAGCGATGGGAATGGCTGGCCAACACGTAACCTCCCTCCGCACAGGCAGGGCCTGCAGTGAGCCCCGCCGGATGTAACAGGTGAGACGGGCCTCTGGGGGAAGGGCCATAAATACCCCACCCCCGACCCATCGCCTGTGCTTGCATGTGACCAACACCCCTCACCCACCTGGTGCCTGGCAGGAGGAAGGGCAGGGGGATGGGGAGTGTGCGTCTGCCCCCCAGCACCAGCACATGCCCCGAATGCTCGGCCAGCAGGGGAGGCTGTGGGGCTCTCTCGGCGCCATGGGGCCGCAGTACCCAGCTCTGTCCTGAGCCAGCGTGACGCCAGCTGGCATCTTCACCCCACTGCAGAGATCCAGGAGTGGGTGCTTCGAGCCACTCCCAGATACCGCCCTGCCGCAGGCCAGGCGGGGGGCAAGCGGGTGGGTCCTGTTGTGGCCAGCTGGGATCGAGCCATCGCTCGATTTATCCCTCCACTGTGCCCATATTGGGGGTGTGGGGATGGCCCCCCATTGAAGGGGGTGGAGGGGCAGGTATCCCCCTAGAGCTAAGGAGGGAGGGGGCAAGACGGGGCTTCATTCCCATGAAGAAGGTCTCATCTGTGCTGCTGCTGGGCCAGGCAGGACGGATACACAAGAGACAGCCCCTGCCCACCAGATTCACAGTCTAACTGGACAGCAGCTCAGCTAGAGTGCCACAGCCAGGGAGAGAACCCAGGTGTCCGGCTCTCAGCCCCTCCCAGCTCTAACTACTAGACCCCACTCCTTCCCAGGGCTGGGAATAGAACCCAGTCATCCTGGCTCCCAGATCCCCAGCTCTAACCCACTAGCCCACCCCCACCCCCATGTGGGGGTGAGGATGCTGTGAGCCTGGTGCATGCTGGGGCAGTCACTGGGTTCCTCTTTGTGATGTCTCCAGGCCCCTGATGTGCTGGCCCTATGGCACCTGGGAGGGAAGGGTGGGGAGCAGGCTCCTGTTAGCTCTCAACCCCCCTATGGAGGTCTCCATGGCAACCTGCCCCACCCAGAGCTCACACTTGGATACCAGCAGGTTGCTGTGGATACGGTGCTGCTATTTGGCAACACAATACACCCTAGGGACAGGTGTCTTGCTCAGCAGGGACCAGAGTGTGTATGTGAGGGGGGGGCCTGGAGGGGTCTAGAGCCAGGGCCATATTCTCCCCTGGGGCCTGGTTGAACCATTAGTCTCTCCTGCCAGCCAGGCTGGCGCAGCCTTGCAGGTAGGGGATTGGCAGTGCCTGGCTGGCCAGGGTTGTGTCTGGGAGGCCAGGAACTCACCCCTCCACAGTTACCCTCCTGAGCTCTGCTCTATGGCTGGCAGTCATCCCTGCCCTTGCCCCAGCCCCACATCTAGCAATGACCCAGCTGTGATGAAGTGGGAATTTTCTGTAGTATTTTTATGAGTCCAGTGTGTGCCTCAGTTTCCCCTGTACTTTGCATGGCTAGCCAGTGTACCCCCAGACAGTACAGTGTCAGGGGGTGGGGAGAGGGGCTGCGTGTCCATGTGTGTCAGTCACCTCCCTGTCTGGGTGGAACCAAGAGTCCTTAAGGAACGGCTGAAACTGACCCAGATGAGCCCAGGGCCAGAGAGATGATGCCAGCTCCAGTGACTCCAGGCTCAACGCTCTCAGCAGGGAGCGGGACACAGACCCCAGCAGGAGACGAGGAGGTGACCAGCAGGGATAAGTATGGGCTCTGGAAAAAGCTTCTCCTGCCCTCTCCTGGGAACTGACAAAGGAAGAGACTGAGCCTGAAAATGGCATTTATCCCAGCTCGCCTGGGCTCGAGGCTGACCAGAATGGGCTCTGCTTGACCCTTCCTCTCTCTGCGCTGCCCAAGGATGCCCTGTGCTGTGTGCCAACAAACCCGACTGCTTTGAAAACGCCACTGGGTGTCATTGTCAATCCTGGCTGAGGTGCATGGATCCCTGCAGGGTGGTGAAGGCTGTCGCTGTTGGACGCACTGGGGTAGAGCAGGAGGCTGGAACCCAGAGGTTCAGTCTAGGAGATGGTGAGGACCCGTGGCCTGCCCTGGAGAAGAGCGAGACCCCTTGGGGGTCTGGCACACTAAAGGGTTTCTCCGAGAGACTTTTCCAAAGTTGGGGGTGTAGCACCGATCCTGCGGATCTGTGACCCCAGCCCTGCCCTGGCCCCCAGCAATGACTTGGCTCTGCCCTGGCCCCCAGCAGTGACCTGGCCCTGTCCCAGCTCCACCCTGGCTCTGCCCCAGCCCTAAGCAGGCCTTAGCCAGGCAGGGACATCTCTCCCGGTGCCCAGACCCCAGCCATGTCAGCAGATGCTCCCCCTCCTGGATGTTCCCCAGGACAGTGGCCTGGGGTTGGCAGGGCTCCCCAAGGGCCATGTCTAGTCTGGCTGGGTTCCACACCAGGGCCAGTGAGCACCCACCCGTCTCCCGCACGTCCTGGTGTGAGGGAAGTAGGGCCGGCTGTGGGGTGGGGCTGGCCCTGCAGCTCCAGTTCAGCCCCCTCACCCCATCCCTAAGGGATACCAGCCTGTCTCCTCCCACAGGGACCAGGCCGGGCCCGGCAAGGGAAGAGGGGGTCACCAAACCCAGAGGTGGCCCTGGACACAGGGGCAAAGAGACCTTCACATACCTGCTCCACGGCCTAAGAGGCACAGCCTGACCCTGCAGCTCATGGGGGGGCAGTGTCAACCCCCCTAGCCCAACCCTGCACTGCCTAACTTCCCCAACACCCGAAGTAACAGCTGCCCCCCGCCCCCATCACTGGCAGGGCTGCCCCCCACTCCAGTGGGCACCGTGCTCTGGGCTGGGCACCACCAGGCTTAGTCAGGCGGGGGCGGGATGCAGGGCAGGAGGTTAGGTAGGAGCCTGGGGGGAAAGTCGGGGGGAGGGATGGCTGTCCCTGCTCCCTCCTGTGCTGGTGCCACACAGCGACCTCTGGGCTATTGATCCATGGTAGAAAGAGCCAGGGGACAAGGGCCGCGGTGCCAGCCTGGGGCCAGGGAAGCCGGTCGAAGCCAGACTGGGCAGGTGGCAGCATGGCCCGGGCTGCTGCTCCTCCACGACCTCCCCCCATTCCCTGCATGGGTCTTCGGGGGCTGGGGGGGGGAGCATGAGGTGGAGGGGGTTAGTTTCATTGGAATAAATGGGGTGAGAGCACAGAGACCTTGGCCTGCCTGGTCCTCCAGCAAAAACGGGCACTGACAACCTGCTTAACCTGTTCCTGAGGATACAGCGCAGAAGGGAAGGGAAGCACAGCACCTGTCGGGCTGTCAGGGTGCCCACAGCCCCTGTTTCCCCTCCCGTTAGCAGGAGAGAGTTTTCCTAGGGACCCCCACCCGCAAGGGTTATACCAAAGATGGAACTAACCGCCCTTTCGGGGAGAAGAGACGCAGTGAGCTGGGCTGGGGGCGTCGCTGCTGTTAATGTGCGATCCCGCTTCCTAGAAGATAAAACAAGACAAACGCACAGTGGGGAGAAAAGCCAATGCAGAGGCTGTCTCCAGGGCTGGCTCTCATGTGCAGCCTTCCTGCCCCAGGGACCCAGCCTGGCCCAGGTGGATCAGCCACTTGGAGAACTGGCAAACTTGTACCAGCGCCAGATGGGGTAGACCCTTGCTGGAACTGCCCCTCAGGCAGGGCGCTCAGCACCCAGCTTGGAAAGGACGGAGATGCTCATTAAGCAGGAAGGGAGCGGGGAAGAAAAGTGACACAGGATGGACAGAGGGTGTCAGCAGGCACCCAACTTTCACCTCCTGAGTGGGGGTAAGGATTTCGCCGGCGGCACGCCAGCGGAAATGTTAGTGGGGGCACAGTCAGGACATGTCAGGATGATGAAGATGCAATGTTGGATGTGCCATGTGCCAATGTGCCATGTTGGATCCTGGGGTCCCAGGAGATGGGTGGGGGGCAGCCTGGATGGGGAAACTCCCTCCTCGCAGACCACACTTCACCATTTTGATCCCCCCAAAGTCTTTTCCTGTGGACCCCCAAGGCAGGGCAGGTATTTTGCCCACCAATTAGGTCTAGTTTCCGACACACTTGTTGATGCCCTGATCCCATGCCTCATTGCTTACCCATTGCGCTCTCCCACGCTGCTGGGGTGGGCTGAGGAGAATGTTTCGCACTAATCCATGCCCCTGTCTCCTGGCACTAATCACACAGCAGGCTCAGTTGGACTTTTGTTCCCCTGGACACATGAGAGTCCACAGACCAGAATCAGCCCAGGGTGGGGTGGGACGTGCAGGCAAGCCCCAGCCCTATCCCCTGAGCCTGGTATTTGCCTGGAGACACAATGCCCCGGTTCAGGTCACAGGCTGCTGAGTGCCGTGTGCCCATCTCAGCAGCCCAGGACCTGAGGGAGGCCCCCAGCCACACTCCCAGCCTATGGCCCGTATGGGGGCTCCAGTGCTGGATGCGCCTCATCGTGTCTCCCCCAGCCCCGCACCCGACTGGCCAGGAGCACAGAGCAGGGTAGCTCCTGGCAGTGCTGCAGGGCAGGGTTGCCCAAGACTGGCTGGCAGGCCCTGCTCCCCACTGGGATTGGGGCCATGGCAGCACAGAGCTGACACTGGCCTCAGCTCAGAACCCTCCTGAGTCAGAGAGGGCAGACCGTGGGTGCTGGAGTTTGGGGGGTACAGTGTGCTCATCATGGGGGTTGGGGGTGAGTGGGGAGTGGTTCTGGGGGTGTGGGAGCTGGATGCTATGGTGGCTGTATGGGGAGCACAGGGTGCCCCGGAGAGGTGCTGGTGGGGGAGGAGCTGCAGCAAACTGGATGCTCAGGGAGATGAGGTTTGGGGGTGCTCGGGGGAGCTGGGGATGCTAAGAGCTGGCCACTGGGGGAAGGGGTGTTGGGGAACCAGACAGACACTTTGTCCCAGGTGACGTCTGACAACACCTACCACTTAAGTTGGGACGAGGAGGGGGCCGCCCAGCTTTCCCTGCAGCCAATCACTACCCCGCTCCCGGCGCACTGCAGCCAATCATCGGCGAGCTCTGCCCCCCCCTTCTCCCCACAGCTGATGCAACCCTGCTGCAATCGGGCCCCCCCGGGTCCTGCGCCCCTCCCGCAAAATAGGCCCCTGGCTCCTGCCTCGGGGGCGCCGCAGCAGGGGACGGGGAGCCGGAGCCGCGCAGCCCGGAGGCACAGCGGGGGGGCGGGCCGGGTTGGGGGGTGGGGACTGGTGGACGCACGGCCCCGCTGGCGGGGCGGAGGAACACGGGCTGTAATGCGGCCCTGGGGGGGGGGGGTAGGCGCTATAGATAGCGGCCCCTCCTCACCGCCCCCTCACTCCGCCTCTCTCCGCACACGCAGACCCGGACCCGAGCGCCATGGCTCTCTAGCGCTGCCCGACCCCGGACCAGCGAGCGCCGCGCCGCGCCGCCCCGCCGCCGCCGCCATGGAGTGAGTGCGGCGCCCCGGCTGGGAATGGGGGGCTCCCTAGGCGGGGACAGCAGGGCCCATCGCGCGGGGACCCCGGGGGGGGGGGGGAGCCGCGTGCCCGCCTACAGCCCCGCGGTGGGCGCCGGGACCCCCGGGGGCGCGCACTGTTGCACGGGCAATGCACCCGGGGTGTCTCCGGGGGTCGGGGCTGGCTGGCTCCCAAGGCGGGGGCGCTGCCGGGATCACGCTGCAGACTGGAGGTGTCTCCCCGTGGACTCGCTCCTCCCCACACGGGTAGAGCGGACGGGGCGGGCTGGCCCGCCGTCTCCTAGCCCTGCCGGGGGCTTGAGCCTGCGCGAAGGGACGGGAGCTGAGCCCCCAGCCCGGGCAGGCTGATGTGGTTTGATGAGTGGAGGGAAGCTGGACAGGGTTGTCCTTTCGCTGTTATGGGGTGCTGCTGTGCAGAAGGGGGGGGACTGAGCCCTGCCATGGGTGTAGGGGTGCCCTCCCCTATGCCAGGGGCCTTGCTCATCCTCTCTTGTCCCCCCAACAGGTCTTCCTGCTCTGCCCCCATCTCCTTACCTGCCACCATTCTTGCCAGCAGGAATCGCGGCCCCCGCCCGCCACGCTCTGGCCCCTTGCCCTATTGTGCTGTGGCCTGCGTGAACCCGCACCTGCCCCACCATGTCAATGCTGGCAGCGCTGACCCTGGACCTGGAGAAGACTCTGCTCCCAGCTAGTGCCCTCTCCTGGAGGGCTGAGTTCCTCAAGATCCCTGGCCACTATGAGCCCATGCCAGGGGCCACGGATGGGCGCTATGCCCATGGCACAGAGGCAATGATGCTGGCAGGTACAGTACTGGCAGGAGTGGGAAGTACAGGGGTGGGGGGGAGAAGATGGGGGATACTGGTTGTGCTGCCTCCAGTGAGTTTGCCTCATTAGGACATTGCCAGGCTGGGAGATCCCAGCCCTTCCCCATTGATGGAGATGGTGTTACTGAGGGGTTAGGATGTCTGCTCAGGTGTCTCAGTGCCCATGGGGCACCTGGCTCCTAGGTTAGGCTGAGGCCAGGACAGCAGAAGGCAAGCTGTAAAGCCTTAAGGGGTTTGGCTAGGCCTGGTACCTGCCTACCTAGCCCTCCCTTCTCCAGGCCAGCTGCAGCCGGTTCCCTTCATGGGAGCAGCATACTCTGTGCTGCTCGCTTCCTGACAGGGCTCCCCAATGCAGCCTCTGAGCCTGCTCTCTCCACACAGGCGATGGCTTCTCAGACTGGATGACGGAGAGGGTGGACTTCTCCTCTCTCCTGATGGAGTCAGGGGATCCATCGCTGCCCTCACCCCCGCTGCCCGACCTGGAGGCCATGGCCTCCCTCCTGAAGAAAGAGCTGGAGCAGATGGAGGACTACTTCCTGGAGGAGTCACTGTCCCCCGGACTGGGCCTGGACCAGGTAGCCCCAAGCACACCACCTTCGCACCAGCCTGCCTTCCACTTCCCCTTCGGGGATGGGAGCGGGCCAGCAGGGTCCTTCCCACCCTTCAGCTCTGATAACCCCATGCCACTGCAGACCCTGGATTCGGGATGCCTGGAGCTCCTCAGCCTGTATGGGGCAGGGGTGCCTGGGGAGTGCCCTGGCCAGGGCCTGCAGGAGGAGTGTGCCAGTAGCCCAGCAGCCAAGCGCAGCAGGCCAAGCCCCTTGGAGCAGCCAGCAGCCCCCTGTGGGCCAGCCCTGCCCCAGCAAAAGGGGGACCGTAAGCAAAAGAAGCGGGACCAGAACAAGACAGCAGCACTGCGGTACCGCCAGCGGAAGCGGGCTGAGTATGAGGCACTGGATGATGAGTGCCAGGGCCTGGAGGCCAGGAACCGTGAGCTCAAGGAGAAGGCAGACTCCATTGAGCGAGAGATCCAGTATGTCAAGGACCTGCTCATTGAGGTCTACAAGGCTCGGAGCCAGAGGCTCCGTGCCAGCTAGGGCAAGGGCCAGCTAGCCCAAACTCCACCCCAGGTCTAGAGCATGACATGCAAGTCAGTGGGGGTGGGGTTCTGGCAGATGCAGAGCTTCAGGCCTGGCGCACAATACGCCCTAATGCAGTAGAGGGGGGTTCAGGGGATAGTGGGCTAGACAATGCTCTGTCTGGGTTAGGGAAGCAGTGTCTAGACATGTGGGGAAGTCTGGGTGACACTGACCTGGGAGGGGGAACCAGGCTGCCAGGCATGTCAGCTCTCCAAGCACCAGCATTGCCTGTGCCAGCCTGCCCTGCCTCGAGAGAGGGATGTTGGGGGAGTGGGGCTGGAGCCGAACAAGGGCAGGAGCAGGGTGCTGCTGTGGCAGAGAAGGGATGTGTAAGAAAGGTGTGGGAGGGTGCTGGAGGGGTACAGTGAGAGTGCATGAGACAGGCAGAATTATGTACAAAAACATTTGTATAGACATTTTTGTAGCTTCTTTTATAGAGCATAAAAGCCAATAAAGGCTGTTCCTGCCTTCAGGCTGAGCAGTGTGTGTGAGAGCACCCCTTCTTCCCTGGGGGTTGGGGCTCCCCCTGCACTCAGCCTCAAGGGAGCAGACTTCCCCACCCCACTTCTGCCATCTCTGCTAGAAGCAGAGCTCCCCATTGCATCACAAGGCTGACAGTGTCCACACCTGGCTTTCCCTGCACACAAAGGCTGGGTGCTAAGAAGGAGATTTAAGGTTTATTGTACACAACAATGCTCATTACAACTGAACAGATGCCGCTGCCTTAGGCCAGCATTTCCCTTCCCTTCCCTCCCCTCCAGGGGCTCAGTGCACCTAGGGAAGGACAACAAGAGCTCTGGGCCTTAGCGCCAAGCACAGAGGAGGCAGCAGGGAGCCTAGGGCACTCACCATCCTTGCCCTGGCAGCCACTGGTGTCTCCTACCCCCTCCTGAGCTCCCCACACCAGCACTAGTAGAAGTCCTCCTCCTCAGCCTTCTCCACAGGCTGCTGGTTCTGAATCTGCTGCTGCTGCTTGTAGAGCTCAGCTACCTACAGCCAAGAGAAAGGGATGGAAGCTGCCAACTCTGTCCCATACAGTGCCAACCACATGGCTCGGAGAAGCCCCATTGGAGCTGTGCTGGAAAAGGAGGCAGGCCTAACTCAGAGAGGCTTCATCTCCATTGCTGCCCCTACATACAGGAAGATGCTCATCTAGAACTGTGCCCATCAACTCACCGGAGAAGCTCAGCCAGGTCCTGCTGCCCCAGAGACAAGGGCAGTAACAACCTATAGGCCCATACCAAGCTGAGCAATGTGGGCTGCTGTTGGGAGGGACAACCCCATGCTTGCAGTGAGGTTAGCTCACCCCTGGCACAGGGGCCTGGCCCTAGGAGGGATTTAGCCAGTATGCTGGGATCAACACCCTGACTGAGCTAAAGTGCTGTGGGGACATCAGCTTAGCATCTTGGAAAGAGCCCCTTAGTGCCATGCTGGGGCATTATGGCCAACACTCAGGGGCTCATGTCCCCTACTTTCCCGCTACCCTGCTCCTTGTAGCACAGCACCCCTAGCACAGTGTCAGTCAACACCGCACAGTGAGCAATTTCTGCTGGGCCCAGCCTTTGTCCTGGAGGTCACTCCCAGGCACTGCCTGTGAAGGAAAGGTGGACGCTCTCCTCTGTGCCATGTGCATGCCAGTCTAGGGCTGCCCTGGGCATAGGCCTCTAGCACAAGTTCCCAACAGAGCAGTAGCCCCAAGTCCAGCTGAGAAGAGAGGAAGGCGCTCTGCAGACTTAAGCCACTTGTTCCTACCCTTGCCCCATGTGCTACCTGGGAACTGGTGGTGGCTTCCTCAGGCTTCTTGTCATCACGCACGCGCAGGAACCGGGGAAAGCGCAGGGAGATGCCCTTCTCCTCATCCACCTGGGGGCCAGAAAGGGCCTATGAGACATGGATGGGGCCAGCTGGGCACCTGGGGGAAGGTTGGGAGGGTGCTCCCAAGCTCTGAGGGACAGGGTAGACAGTGGTGCTGAGACTGACTGGGCCAGCAGCCCAGGATTAATTATGAGGGGTTCCACTCCTCCCAATGCATAGACAGCAGCCCCAGGTGGTCCAT